AGATGTATAGCATGTCTGCACTGGATGCATAGCATGTCCGCGCTGGATGTATAGCATGTCCGCACTGGATGTATAGCATGTTTGTACCGGATGTATTGGACGTCTGTAACAGATGAATAGCATGTCTGTATCAGATGTATAACATGTCTTCATTGGATGTATAGCATGTTTGTACCGGATGTATTTGACGTCTGTAAGAGATGCATAGCATGTCTGTATCAGATGTATAGAGTGTTTGTACCGGAAGTATAGTATGTCTGCACTGGATGTATAGCATGTCTGCACTGGATGTATAGGATGTTGCATCGGATGTATGGGATGTCTGTATCAGATGTAAGGGATGTCTGTTTGTGGATGTATAGCATGTCTGCACTGGATGTATAGCATGTCTGTATCAGATGTATAGGATATCTGTTTGTTGATGTATAGAAGGTTGTACCGGCTGTATAGAATGTCTGTATCAGATGGATAGCATGTCTGTATAGGGTGTTTGTACCGGGTGTATAGTATGTCTGCACTGGATGTATAGGATGTCTGAACTGGATGTATAGGGTGTCTATATCAGGTGTATAGGTTGTATGTTCTGGACGTATAGCATGTCTGTAACAGATGTATGGGATGTCTGGATCAGATGTATAGCAAGTCCGCACTGGATGTATAGCATGTCTGCACTGGATGTATAGCATGTCTGCACCGGATGTATAGGATGTCTGAACTTTATGTATACCTGTCTGTATCAAATGTATAGCATGTCTGTTCTTGATGCATAGCATGTATGTAACAGATGTATAGGATGTCTGTATCAGATGTATAGCATGTCTGTTTGTGGATGTATAGGATGTCTGTTCTAGGTGTATAGGATGTCTGTATTAGATGTATAGGATGTCTGTTCTGGATGTATAACATGTCTCTATCAGATGTATAGCATGTTTGTACCGGATGTATAGGATGTCTGTTCTGGATATATAACATGTCGCTATCAGATATATAACATGTTTGTACCCGATGTATAGGATGTCTGTTCTGGATGTATAGCATTGTTTTACCCGATGTAAAGGATGTGTGTATCAGATGTATAGGATGTCTGTACCGGATGTATAACATGTTTGTACCCGATGTATAGGATTTCTGTTCTGGATGTATAACATGTCTTTATCAGATGTATAGCATGTTTGTACCGGATGTATAGGATGTCTGTTCTGGATGTCTGTATCAGATGTATAGCATTCTGCACTGGATTTATGGCATGGTTTTACCGGATGTATAGGATGACTGTTCTAGATGTATAGCATGTCTGCACTGGACGTATAGCATGTCTGCATATGATGTATAGGATGTCTGTTCTGGATGTATATGATGTCTGTATCAGATGTATAGTATGTCCGCACTGGATGTATAGCATGTTTGTACCGTATGTATAGGATGTCTGTATCAGATATAAAGGATATCTGTTCTGTCGGGTAGCCTAGTGGTTAAAGCTTTCGCTCGTCACGCACAAGATCTGGGTTCGATTCCCGACATGGTGAAATCAGGTGAATCGTCTAATGATTTTTTCTTGACTTGAAACACGGATAACAAACAGAGGATAGTTCACGTTTTCTTTTCAACATGTTTACCTCTCATCCGGGAATGACCTGACAAAGTTTTATATTCATGGGGGACGAAAATAATAGTGTCAATGAGGCAGGCTGAGAGTTGTTTCGTCAGGAAGTGTCATTCCTCTCGAGGGAAATATGGATTTCAATTCAGATATACAGAGAGTATGTCTGGCATTTCTTTTCCGGCAGAGTGTTATTTCTCACAAGTGAAATGTTATTTCACTCGTGTTTTTATGTTATTTCACAGCAGTGAGATATTGATTTTATTTTTGCGGATGAATACAGTATTTCAGCATTAAGTACGTTATAAATATAGGATATTTGACTTTTCTTGTCAAAATTCTGACAAAATTTAAAAACATTATTTACGGTGCAGCCACGAGTGAGAATGTCAACTTTATGTAACGAATGAAAGTAGTTCCGGCAAACAGTGTTATATCACTCAAGCGAAGCCACATATAATTTCACCCCAATAAAATATCGATCTAATATTTTCAGATAAAGTATTTTCAGTATTTCATCTCTCCATACATTATAAATGGTATCTTGTCCCTAAATACTTCAGAAAGTTTCATATTGTACCCGACCTCGCATTCAGATAAAGAGAAATGTTTACATCACAACAAAACTGAATCGATGCCAATGACATCAATATTTATTTACATAACACAAGGCAAACAACACGAACACCGACAGATATATACAGCTGTCTGTTACAAAATAGCAATAGAAAAGTAAAATATGTCTGTATGTACAACACCTGTGAACTACAGTGAGACGTACTTGTGATACATATTGCTCGGTTCTACTATTAAGATTCTGTGCGTTGAAGCGACCTCAAGACAAATATACAGGTATCTGCAAATGTACATGACACTTCCAAATATATATGCGACCATATTCATGTCGGTAAGCAAGATGTACCATCTATATGTAGACATATATGGAATAGCATAGACACATTATATTTTGTACACGATAAAGGTATGACAAAACTCAGAGGAGGTGATCGCTATTGGACCGACGCTACTATTAACTCACCCTTAAAGGCGGACCTGCGTTAGTGATGACATTGAAGCAGTCGGTCATGGTGATCCATACACAGGTAAGTGAGTGAGTTTGGTTTAACGCCGCCTTTAACAGTATTCCAGCTGAATCACGGCATGGCAGCTTAACGTGGGAGGAACGCTCGAAGTGATGCAGGTTTCAGACGTTTACCACTATGATGAAACCCATGAGCACGAGTCTGGTGCTGACAAACCTAGAAACAAAATCAGGGGGGAAGCGGGATTCGATCATGGGTTTCTGGGTGCCCAATGGACGCATTACTGCGTATTGGGTTGCCTTAGACGACTGGGCCCACCCGTCCCCACGCCTGCAGTCTTAACACTCACATATGATAATGGAGTTTAATTAAGAACTAAATATTATATAGAAAGTTGGGATAGACAATTATGGGATATGCATGACTCAGATGCATGGTGGGTAGCTGAACGATGACAAATTGACTTGAAATGTTACAAAACACAGCCACTGTCACATGACGTCAGATACACGTGACGTCATTCCGTTTCCCTCGTTACTATTTTAACCTGGTCACCTGGTAATTATAACTTTATGTACTCAAAAGAAAACTTTTACATATATCTTTACGTGGGTGGACATACCACTGTAAGATCCACCAGAGATAGGAAACGTGTCCCCGATTGCAGGACTACCACAGAAGCGAGTCCAGCGTGGATCTTACTCGAGGTCAACTCCTGGTGTCACGGGACTCCTTCGTCACATCCGAGTTCGTTATAGACAATAACATCATCTTTGATTGCAACCCGTTGGGATACGTTTGGTCGTATATTCATTAAATAAGACCTAAGAAATATCCGGAGCTCGAGTGTAGGGTTAGTGTGTGAGTCCATCTCTGGAGACGGTAAATATCGTTGGCATTTTAATAGTGAGTTGGGTTTAACGCCGCTTTTAACAATATTCCAGTTTTATCGTGGCGTGTCAGCTTAATGCGGGAGGAAAGCCCGAAGTGATGCAAGTCTCAGACGTTTACCACTTCGGTGAAACCCACGAGCACGGGTATGGTGCTGACAAACCTAGAAACATAATTCGGGTGAACCGGGATTCGAACCCACAATCATAGGTTTCTGGCATGCCCAAGGGACGCAACTCTGCACAGCGAATCGCGGAGCCTCAGACGACTGGGCCACCCGTGCCCCCTGGCATTTTAATAACGAGCTACATAAAATTCAACATAACTGTCAGTTGTTAAATTATAAAATGTCAGTACCTAGTAACGATGTCTGTCTGATGATACTAAAAAGTTTATAATGTTGGTATTATCTAGTTACGGTTTCTGTATCTGATAATCTCACTATCTGATAATGACACTAGTTTGTTTATAATCATATTGTCAAATAACGATCTCAGTATCTGACAGTAATTCTAAAACTATGAAATAACAATGTTAGTATCTGATAAGGATCTCAGTATCTGATAGTTATTCTAGAATTATCTGAAAACGATGTACGTATCTGATAGTAATTCTGGAATTATTTTAATTGTGATATCGGTATCTGAGTACGATTGCAGTATCAGATAATGATACAAGGATTATTACCTAATTACGACGTCAGTATTTGACAAAGCTGTCACAATCTGATAATTATACTGGAATCTGATAATGCTGTTTTTATCTAACAATGATGTCAGTATCTGATAATGATACATGTACCTGTTAACTATGTCTATATTTCATAACGATATTATTTCCTGTCAGAATAAAGACATACACATCTCATAGTCAGGCCAGCAGCATAGTGTCAAACATATTTCACAAATAAACAACAAACAACCACAATTGGGTAACCATTTGGAAAATATGTTTATCAAGTAAAGTAGATGGCATTTATTGTTTCAAAAGGATCAAACTAAGAGTTATCATAAAGAAACGATATAAATAGATTGTTGATTCGTGTCATCGGTAACTAAAAATATATTTTTACATTCCATTCTTCAGATGTAATTATTCTTGAAAACCTGTTTATTGGGTATTCGTATAACTGCCTCATGACACGTCATATTAGATTGATGGATATGTTTTTACAAATCAAGACTTATTTTGCATCTATTTCGGTTTTCATCAAGATGAATGAATACGTGTGTTATCAGGATAGTCTTAAAAATACACGTTTCCTCATAAATGAGCGTGACATCTTTGAATGTTTTCATTATTTGCTTATAGAAATACAATACTTCTACAGATACTGCTATTTTGGGGACTCAACGGCTTTAATAAACATGATTTATATTTAAAAAATGTTTTATTGGAACATCACCTTGATAAACACATTAAGAGATTACTACACACGGGGTGGGGTGGGGTGGGGTGGAAAGGGGTTATTTTTTTTATTTATTTTTTTTTTGGGGGGGGGGGGGTTAGTTTCAGCCATGACTATTTGAACCGCAAAGTGATTTTGTTTTCAGATCAGCAAATATTTTTTAATATTAAGGAGCTCAATTATTTGTTTGTAAATTAATGAAGAATAACGAACGGTATTCGTTTCACACTGCAAGAACGGGAAACAGCATCTTCTTTCCTACAATGCGAGGTATATGTAAAAATAATTCAGTAAAACATTTCCCTCGCCCCTGATATTTTCTTATTTTAAAGCAGAAAAAAGAAACGAAATCAAAATCAGTTTTTGCACCAGATTCCAACTTCTTACAAACACTATGCCGTTCCAAGGAATCGTATCCGTCTCTTGATACTTGGACCGAGGGGAACTTTTAATAGAAGACTTGTAAAAAAAGATTTGTAACCCACTAGTCACATTTGAAAATTCCAAAGTCATGGTTCTGGGTCTGACTTCCACTAGTGTTTTAACAAAGTACAGGTCAAGACAAGATCGTATTTGGATTGGTCACGTGATCATGCTATATCGGGACTAGACGCATCCGCAGAAGCGAACCCAAGATACCCAAACTGAACCACGGCATGTCTGTCTTTGGTGAGCTTCATAGCAGGATAAGGTCTCGGTCGAGCACATGTTGAGTGTTTGGTCTGTAAAGATGATTACATTCTGTTGTCGTAAGGGATGGTGACCTGATCTCCGAGATCTTGTGGGAGGTGACTCGAGCTCTTGGTGGAGGTCATCTGAGATCTGTGAGGAAATGACCCGCGGCATATGGCAAGGTCAAGCGAGGACTTTAGGGGGAAAAGCTTCTTAGGAAGGCGACCTGAATTCTTAACACCTCATTGAATGAATGTATGTTGTTGATTTTGATCTCGGTTAAAAGAGTATTTTTGCTTCATTTTGTCACAGGCTTGTCGGTGCAAAGGGAGTGGTTTTGGTAAGGGTGACCACAAGCATACTTCCATCTGCGATTGGCATGAAACATACGGTGACGAATGAACGACTTGCCAATCGTGCCACTTCTCCATACTCTAGGCTTATGACCTCCGATGACGTCAGCTGAATACCAGGTCATGGTTCAAGGTCACGATTCAAGGTCACGAGATCAGGGACGATAGGTGTGGTTGACCACGGACTGTTCATGATTTCTGTAAAAGAGTAAAAAAAACGTTTCGATAAATTATGCAGTGTGTGTTGTTGTGTCATTGTAATCGAAATACAATAATCTTGTAAATATAAGCGACCAAATCTTTTACATATCCAATAGAAAACTCTGCATAAAGCAGTCGATTGTACGATTCCGACTATATCATGAGCATGTGTTTATGAATCACTATCAAATAGTGGTTATACCAGGTATTCGCGAAAAGGTGAGCGTATCCTGCCCCGCCGGTGGCACATGTCACAAACACATGCAAAGGCAAGTCAATTGTTCACCCGAAAAACACGGGACTGTACAAGATAAATAGGGAATTGCATCGGACATCATTTTTGTCAATGATGCGTCAAACTTAGAAATGTCCTCCACATGTCTACCATAAAACCTTTTAAAAGCTTTACTGAGGCCTTGAATGTTGTAATCTTGATCAAACTTCTAAACAAGAATTTTTGACGCGCTTTGAAATCTTGGTAAAAAGAGAATGCTCGATTGTATCTCAAAAGTTGTGAAATGTAAACACCAAAGGCTGGATCTGCTGGAATACTGCTCGACAAGAAGCAGTGCCTGAAACTCAGCAGAGTAAACTGAGAGCCTTAATGGCCAGCGCATTTCACAAACTGTGGGCCCCGTGGAAAAAACTGTAGGCCAAAACATTTTCGCTGAAGCAGGGAGACATAGACGTGCAATATAAATTACAAAACAGAACCAGTCAACCAGAAGCTTTACTGCTATCACACCGCGTTCCCAGAGACACCGTGGTTACAGCTGAATACTACATTTATCAGGAAATTATCAGCTTGTAAATCATCTTTGCGACTGCATGTCATGCACCATTTAAAAGGTCTAATCCTGCCTTTTCATAAATATAAACCTTATGTTTATCATATTATTTAAATAATGCATTTATAACTTAATTAAGTTCGTTTTTAATAACAATTAAGCTAACATATTCTTAACGTCCAGATTAAGCACCAAGGAAGCGAAAATGACGGCGAGTTTCGGCAAATTTAAGATTACAATACAAAGCAAAACACTAACTTATTTCTTTTTTATTTCCATTGTGAAAGTAATCGGAAAATTATGTTAAAAATAATTTTAAGTCCGATGAATCATCACATATTTCACGACACTAGTGGCTTTCCGCTCAGTGACATGAGAAAATACCGGTAAATACCTCCCTTTTTGAAGCTTTGTAAACAGGACACGTGCGAGGATGCGTTCGATGTTTGGGATCGTTAGAAAGCTCTGAACATCAATAATATTACAATAACCTCGCCATGAGTATTTTCGAAGTTTGCGATTTTATTGGATATAAATTGGTTTCTAATGACGCGTTTGACGTTATCTAAAAATTTAAGGATCGTGATTGGTCAATTTCAAGCACATTACCTAAGTCAGCCAATCAAATACAGCAATGGATTTACCTCGTGTGTGATGTTTCAGATTCGGACGAAAGTCGTGGTTAAATCGTATTATTGTGAACGTTTTAAGCAGGAAAACGCGACCTGTGTATAACATATGGAACTTCGTGGCCATATAGTGCTAGGTTACGACCTGTAACAAAGATTGCTCATGCATATAATCATGTCCAAGCCTGAAAATCGAGGCGACTAATGGCGAGATGTTATTTGACTTACTATACAGGGTCGCACGAACAGATGGAAATAGTAACTTTGATGTAAGTTTGACAGCTTTGATAAAATAATGTTGATTTTATTCATTGCTTCAATTTATTTACGGTTTCCTTGAAACTTCTGTATATTGTTCATTGACAAGTTCGATATGGACTCGTTGTCAAAGCATGTGTCCCAGATTATATGTCTTTCAATAACATTGCGGGAAATAGTTCATTATTTTAAATCTTTTGATAAATTATGATTAATTGAAATGAAATAAGTATTTTCTGATTTTGTGAAAAGTGACAGCTTTGATAAAATAATGATATGACAGGTAGGTTCATGGAACTTTAAATATTTTGACGTGGCTACGGTGTGGCCGGTACACCTGCCTGTGGTGTTGAAAGAGGTAACGTCGGGAGTACTTTGAAGCAGGATTGAAGCTGAAGCAATCTCATTTACCATGTTTACAGCTTAAAATAAACTATAAGCCGCAAGGGCCTCCAGAAATTTAAAACTATAAGCTCGAGAACAAATCTGTCGGCCTCGGGCCAACGAGCCGATGCCTGTTTCGAACACTGACATGGATGGGAACGTTAAAAAGTCGAAGTCATCCCTCTTGTCATACTCTTGTTTTGTCACTCTGAATCTTTATGCATCGACCTAAATATGAAACAGATGAGGAGGTCTCCCTGGTCTCCTTCTTGTTCAGGGTGAATCAGTGGAAGGGAATTGGATATTGGATGGTTATTGAACAATATGAGATCATCGCTATAACCGAAGCTAAATTACATTGGCCTTATCACATTGTTTTGACTTTGGCAGAAATTCCGATTTATATGCATAAAACAACAGATTCACAAGAAGCTGGCACAATTGGTGTACATGTGATGCCTACGTCTTGCCAAAATGGTTCATAATGGCGTGTGGCACTATAATGGCGTGTGATACAAAAGTCAGTTAACAAAAGCATGCATGAGGCATCCAACCAAGCAACAGAGATGCACTCTACAACCAACATGCTGCCATCAACGTTCGGGGTCAATTGAATGTTTTCGATAAACACAGACACACACAGACACACAGACACACAGACACACACACACACTTCCCTCCGAATGTCAAAAGGCCGATCCCTTATTTTCATTATGTATATAAAGTCATTTGTATCACTGTTTTTACCACCCGATCCCGTTAGTCGCCTTTTACGGCAGAATGGGTTGCTGAAGACCTATGCTACCCCGGATCCTCACGGGTCTGAGACAAAGTGGGTCCCACGGACTTAATAATGAAACTGAAAATGTACAGGGTGATAGTTTAAGTGGAAGATCTTGAAAAGGGTATCATTTGAACTCTGAAATCTTCACGGGTCTCATTATTTCGAAATGGCCGAGTATGGAGGCTTTCAGGAATCAAGTTGATTTTCTGAGGAGGTGTAAATTAAAAATAGTTCAAATATATGGTAAAACATTTGGGCCACGAATTTGCTAATACTTCGGTCAGAAGTTCAAAAGTAAAAGGCGATCTGTCAACCATTTGACATGTCTGGTTGTTAAAATACCCATATTCAAAACGTTCCCACAACAGACAAACATGTTGTACATATATTTTACCCTCTAGACGATATTAATACTATGTTTGTGTGATGTGTGCGTCTAGCCTGCTTCCTGGTTTATTGTCTGGTTGCCATGGGCAACGGGTACAATACCCAATCACTGATTATAGATCGTATCTTGCTTTGTTAGGTAATCGTATCATTATACTGAACATCTGTAGTCGTTTTCTTCCTGTATTTTTTTTTATCTCAGATCATATCTGAACCTGAAATAGCTTCTATCAATAGCGAAACTATGGTGGTTATTCCAATACATTAATCACGTGTAAAATACTTAAAAACGACAAATGACTTTGAAAGGCATTTAGAAGCGATACACGTAAGGAAGAGAATGTATGGATGTCAACTTCTTTATGATGAGGAATACAACGTTTCGGAGTATATGCTTACTCCATCAGGTTAATGAAGGAGTATGTATATACACCGAAACGTTGTGTTCCTCATAATAAAGCAGTTCACATCCATTAATTCTCTTCCTGACAAATGACTTATTAAAGTTATATTTGTGTTGAAAATGGAAATGGTCTTTGTGATGGAAGCAGATGGAAGCATTGATCGATGGATATATTGAATATGAATAGCACGTGGTTAATACATCCTCATCTTCATATCATTGTTACTCGTTGACACCGTCGTCGTTGATAGCAGGGGAGTTCATGTCGTCATGTGTTGTCAGAATAGAAATAAATGTTGTCTTACTTAATGCTGACCGTCTCTGGAGCATAAACATCAATTTCACTAAGGGCAACTAAAACATTAGGTATGGTACGTATTCGATGATAGCGTGTCAATGTGATCCGACGTGGATTGTTGCTCACAACATCAATCACTGGATTGTCTGTTCCAGACTCAATTATTTAAAGTCCGACGTCATATAGCTGTGCGGCGTTAAGTACAAACAAACACCTTATGTGGTTAATTATTTCATTGATTAAAAGTTTCATTTCGCATGGTCTGAACAAAAAGTAATGATGGCAAACGTGTAAGATTTGTTTCATCTCCTCAAGATATTGTCCAATGATGTACATACAGAAATTTGAAGTCAGTTTCATGGACACGGCCAGCACAAGTCCTACTAGGGATGAGGTGAAATTGGGTTTTATAGCGACCTGCTCGCAGGTGTGTTAGTGTGGCTGTCTTTACTTGTCCGGATATATGGCGGTTTTAACATGGATACCCCACTAGAGACACATTCTAGAGACGCCGAGTCAGCCAGTCCTTGTTTCATGCACCTTACTGCTTCGCGCTCGAGACAGGGTAACAATATGTACCATCATTTAACGTCTTTTAGTATGACGCGACCGGGAAGCGAACCACCGACATCCCACTCTCCAGAGAGACCACTTTGGATGAGTTCCTACTCGGGATGAGGTAATGGTCTTCTAGGCTGTGTGATATCTTGCTCAATCTTCTTCTTTGTATGGCTATTTGTAGTTAACGTGCGTACATAGTTCATATTTTGGTATAGTTCTGCTGTTTTTCTTTGGTAGGTCTGTAGATGGGGATTTCAATACTGAAGAAAATCTACCACTGACACTCTAAACTGTTAGAATATTTACAAAACTCGAAATGTTATACAAACTATAATTTTGATTTGTTTAATGATTCAAACACCCATACACATGTATATTCCCCAGGAATCAGAATGTCGATCATTTGCGCCTATTCTTGGTTTGAATGAGTATAGGACGCCATGTCTTGCGTCCGGAAAAACCTTGATATTGCATTGTTTATTATTAATTTTATTATTTTTTTATC